AAGATATACGAAGTTTGTTGAACGGGAGAAGAATTAAGCGCTTAGGGCCGTATGGCCTCCTTGATTTTGATAATATCGTGTCTTCTTCGGTAAGGTACTTATATGTTCTGCTTTAGATTTCCGGCATGCTGACAGTTCTGGCTAGAGGTTATGTTGTTGTTTTGACGTTTAAGAAATGTTAGGCACATTAATCGAAGGCAGAAGCATAGTTTATTATTTTTTTGCAAATAATGTTGATCAATCAATAATAATTCCCGACATTGAACAAATTCCACAAACTGTGGTTATCTTCAAATCTTATATCTGGTATTAATGATCTGAAAATGAACAATTTTAAGCAAATGGATGTGTATTCAATTATATATAAAAGCTCAACAGCTTACAACCATGCTGTTCCCGTGACGAAGGTAGGTAAGTTGGGGTTTTCCTTTTCAGAAACAACTACCCTTGAAATAACAAAGGTAATGTGTAGTGAAACGAGGGCGACCAAGTAAAAAAAAATAAACGAAAATGTACTCACTCTGCAGTTGACGAGAAGGGCTAAGTATGTCTCTGCCCGAAATCATACCGCTTCAACAGAAAATGAAATCAGCTGATGCGCTACCGAGCAGACGCAGGCAAACAAGGAAGGCAAAATGTTGCTTGCGTACAAAGTCTAGGTATTGCTTCCCGTCCAATCGATTTGGGAGAATAAATGGTCCAATGAGCATACCGTTCACCATGCCAGCTTAAACATTCACCGAAAATGTTTGTCGAAAATGTGCTCGACGGACAGCGTGCGGATTTTCTACTGACCAAACATGAGTGTTGCGAAAGTTATTCACGCCATTACGCGTGAACGTAGATTCGTCTGTCACCAATATGCACTTCAAAAGGTCCGGATTATTGTCATGTTGATGCAACAACCAGTCACAAAACCGCACTCTTGCTGGAAAATCGTCAGGTTGAAGGGCTTGTACACGTTGGACGTGAAACTGATACAGCCCCTCTTCACGCAGCGTTTGCTATACTTTAGTTTTTGATACTTGCACTTCTCTAGCCACGTCTCTAGTGCTTGTTGAGGGATTCTCGTCTACGCGATTACCTCTACACGCGTGACCGTAACCGTCGGTTGAAGGTTGCATACTGACCTGACACACTGACCCCGGCCCAGTTCTGTCGTCGGGTTGAACCAGTGTCCTAGTACCACTCGGGGATGTCGCGGCTACAGGACGGTATTCAGATATTTTTGATGTTGCAAAGCCCTCGAGCTCGGTTCCCTTAAGACACTGGTGTATATGGTACTAAGAAAAATTGCTTATGTTTTCAAGATCTACACGTCGTGTGAAGGAAAACCCCAACTTTGCGGACACCCTGTATACTATCGTATTATTTGCAGGAGTACTTCATTCAAACAAACTTTATGAGATGGTTTCTCCATTGTATGACAAGTGCAATTATTGTATTGTCGATGTCAGGGATGCTTTTTCACAAATTATTGTGGGACTCTGGATTGTGTAGAGTGTCAGGCTATAAGTATGTATAATGTGTGTATGTGAGGATCATAATTACTATTATTGACCGTCGCTATTTCAGAAAAATAAGTTGCAACATGAAGTAAAATCAGAAAAACTATGATATTTTTTTTATACTCCAACTACCACGAAGGCCTAAGGCCTAAACACCCATTGGGTACCGTGGGGCTATAGGGGGATACAGGGGAAAGGGGTAACGCCACACGGACTCAGGCGAGGCAACACGTGTGCATGCAACATGCACACATTCTGGCTCCGCCTACGAGATCCGCCGGGTGGTACCTCCACGTTCGACAGTCAGAGACCATCTACCACCTACGGACAATCACAACATCCATAGCCAAGAGAAAAATTTCTTTCTGGACGGGACTCGAACCCGCGCAGCGTACGGCGACTGATCAGGTGACCGAAGAGTCTACTACTGCGGCCACCGCTGCAGCCTTTACATACTGGTAAAATGCCATAACTAATTACAAATGGGAAAATAAAAGAAAATTATGATTCATCAAGGAAATTACTCTCCTTTGAAACAAATTCCAAACAATAAAAACAACTATATAAGCGGAAAACATCGATTACTTTGAAAATGGTAGGTACCTCAAAGTCAGACTAGGTTTAAGCCCTAATAAGTAGTTTTAAGATAATTGCATTGATGCCATAATTCACTTATCATTACAGGTAGATAGATGCTGCAAGTATCAAATTAAAATTGACGACTTTATCATGAACTTAACATGTAAATTTGATTTTAGGCAAACATGAACTTGACCTAACCTCGCTTTGAGGTACAGAATTTGATTTGTATTTGTATTCAAACGATAATGGACACTCCAGCTACCGAGCATACTAAAAAAATACATCATTGGCATCATCAATAACAAGAAGATTGCTGCACTGAGCCTCAAAGAACAGTATGTTGTGTTTATCAAATGTATTGCACCACACATTAATCTTGTAGCATGTGGTATATGAAAAAAGTGAGGAAACTTAAACACACTTTCTTCGTTAATTGACCTGTAATCTCAACATAAATGGGAAAATCTATTGAAACTGTGGCATAGGAAGGAAAAACATTTCCTGTTTAAAAATGAATCAAAAACTGAGCAGGTTTGGTATTTGAAACACTCATATGAAAAGCAGACTTTGCTAGTTATGATAATCACAGTAAAAGAAATGCCAAGTTGAACAAAGTTCTTTCTAAAAGAAACTTGCTAATTAGATTTTTGAACTGGGAAAAGCCTCAAGGAAGCGATCATATCGACCAGTTCTAGATGTAAGAAGTTCGACACAGTTTCATCAACCTTCTCAGAGCATCTGCGGCTCCCTGGTATTTAGGCTTCTGTCTGCGCGGCTGCTTTGGTGTAAAAAAATATTATACATTTTTAGAATCATAATTAAAAACGCCATACATTTGGGCAAAAATACAATATGGCATCTACAAGAAAAAATGTAGTTGGTAATTGAGTAGGTACTACTAGAGACGAAACGTCATATTGAATGTCGAACTATATCGTCTTGTAGAGGAGAAACAGCCCAACTAGCAAAGTAGTGGTATAAGCTTTTGGTAAAAGAACCGTTGAGCCATAAAAGCTCTCTATTGTTGTTGCCTAAACACCAAAATGCTGGCTTAATGTTGTGTGGAATGCAAATTAGCTTTCTGCTACATATTTGCTCTAAAATGTGTGTTTAAAATATTCGTATAGCATAGCTATACAACATCTTGCAAATTTTTAACTATTGCATAAACGTTTATAAAACTATTTTATACGGCATATTTGCACGTTAGTCAAAATGGTTGTGTTTTGGCATCCATGGTAACGTTTATAAAACAAACCTGAGCCTTGTTGTTTTGCTGTGCAATTTACTACTTTAGCCAACAAATTGCTCCCAACGGAAGCACTTATACAACTGTTGTTTAGTAACTGTTAAAGGCTGTACATATGCTAAATATGTTGGTAAACAACTTCACCATAACCTAACTTTCTGCTGTCATATTTTTGTAAAATGCCATAACCAATGTTTTAAGACAAACAACGCATGCATATTGGTTTAAAAAGGTTTTATCAACTGTTCAAACAGAAGATATAGATCTGGTACAAATTCTGGGTAAATCATTCGACTATGTCGGTATTTCAGACATTTGTCAAATTGTTGTATAACACCTGCAGGCAACACCAAAATATTCTAATAACCTAAAGACAACATGGACGATGCCATTATTGTACACAACCACCCGCCATATTGGGCAAACGTTTATTTCTCTATTTAATATTAAATAATTATGTTTCAGTTCGAAACTACAGATATAAAGAGATAAACATTAGTGTAATTGTGTCTAAATATAGGATTTGTGGAAGATTTAACGCAGATAAGTTCAGTTTTAAATCTTCAAAATCTAGACATACTTTTGATCATTGTCAAAATATGAATAAAATACGAAGCCCGTAGAAATTGGGTAACTAATTTGCACGATAATCACAATAAAATTTGCTGCGCAAGTAATTCAATAGCCCTATATCACAGTGTAGAAGTTTATCATATAGCTGTGTATGAAATTCACACTGGCCGATATGTAAGTAAACAAGATGGCTGTAATGTGTTAGTTATATATTCTTCACTTCGTCTATACAATACATAAGAAATAGTTTGGTTGCAATAAAGTAGAATCACGTAACAGAATAGTTGTATAGTTGAAAAAAACTGAATCTTGCACTGACGCAAATGTACTATAGCGGCTGCAAGAGGCTTAAACTTTTGTTTTATAACTGTTACCTGCAGCCCTTATACAACCTCTTAAATGACTGAAGTGTCTCCTATTAGGTGTGCCCATTCCGCTTATATGGCTGTTCTAAGAGGGGTTTGCCAATGTTGTTACAGTATACAATGCTGTTTAGGGAATACTGTATAATCATTCTTGCAACTCTAATAGGAGTGATAATTGTTAGTTGGAAGTGGCATACTTGGTGCATTTTTTATTCTGAAATCCCATCTTAGATAGAGTAAGTAAAAATAGAAACGATTTTCGAAAGATTTGGTTTCTTTCTTGTATTTCCGGAAATATTCGTAATTCCTAAACTTTTCTTAGTAAATTAAAAGTGCAACTTTGCCTCCATCTAAGTGTCTTCGTTTCTCTCGTCGTTTCGAGATACCAATGATGATAGTCGAATTTGAAACAGCCGGTTAGTACTTTAGATGTTCGTTCATAAATGTTTTTCCACCTCAATGTAGGACGATGTATACGATAAATACAATAAATATTTTGTGACCTAGAGTGGTTTTATAGATATACTACTTATGTTTGTCTTGCCGTTTACAAATTAAGCTTTGCTTATAAAGGTATTGCTTTCAAACACAAAAAGAAGCCCATAAAAATAGCACGATATTCCTATAAAGTAACAATTTCTGCTCCACGGCTTCAGTAGCACAGACACAGAAAGCAATATATCGTCATTGGCATTCGGTAGCTATATATAGAGCGTAAATCACCTCGAATACCCGTAATCGTCGTGCATCGTGTAGCATGTAGCGTCGTGTACATGGGGTGACAGAAAACATCGGATAATCCGCAATAAACAGCCAACATTCGCCGGTCTTCCATCGACATTTTCTACTTTTCGTGTTACGACGACGGCAGATCTGGCGGATTCGCACCGACTTAATTGTCCGTCAAAGGAAGCAGACGGCCTTCGAAATACATGAAATTCGTGACAGCTGAGTAGGAACGACCGATGTTGTAGAAGAGATGTGGGACACATGTCGGGTTGTACAGCGTGACCTGAAAATAAGAAGGTTCAGTTTGAAGTAAGACTATTGTGCAGTAAAAGATCAACGACGGCATACAAAAATAATTGACAAAAGGACTCACTGTTCATTTTTCCCGTAAATACTGTTGAAGTTGGCGTCGGTCCATTTAAAAACATAATTAGTAGTAGTGGTTAAGAATAATTTACACGGAAAACCCCAAAAAGATAAACTTGTGCCCTGCATTAACCGATAGCTGAAGATAATTAAATCTTGAAACAGCATAACTATAGTAAAATTCCAAGCTTGCTCACAAGCTTGTTAACTTTGTCCTATGTTTGCAAATTTCGGGGGTGTCTAATATCTCCACATCGACTACCTGTGCATGATGTAAACAAACCTTCCCAGCTCGGGAAGGAAACATCTTAACGATCTGAATATACTTGCGAAGTATCAATAGAACCCTTAAGACACCGTTAAATAACACCAGATCGATAGGTTCGTTATTGATATATATATGAACGTAGCAGATTCGGTTTTTCAAATCCGATAAGCTAGGTTAACATACACACCACCTGCGCCTGATTTGGATGCTGATTCAGTTCGCACCACAAAGCACACCTTTTGACGTATGATGCAGGATCGGACTGGCACATTTTGAGTTTTTCGGAACCTAATATCTCGGTTATTTTAAGGCTTTGCAGTATGTGTTACTAGAAAAGCTTGGCTGAACTACACATATATCCCAACTAACAATTATCCCTCCACGAACGTTAATACAGTATTGTTTACACACCATTGTATGCTGCAAGAGCATTGGTCAATGGTTCTCAGAACTGCTATACAAGTGGAATGGGCGCACCTAATAGGACACTTCAGTCACTTAAGATGTTGTATAAGGGGTGCAGCAAACAACTATACAATAAAATTGTACACTCTTGCATCCGCTAAAGAACTGTAAGAAGAATGAATAGTACTACCATGCGCCATCTATTGGGAACCGCACCAAGGACTCTCTTTCGGCATCGAAGCGAGGTGCGAGATGGACCCCGAAGGTTCTGGAGTGGCCGCTATGTCGCGTACAGGAACTTTCTCGAATTAACGAGTACCTGCGATAATATAAGCCGCCGGGTGGAGCGGAGGGGGAGTTGATGTGAATAACGGGACGTAATTCGCAAGTAAGTAATCAGACATAAGTAGCGGTGTACATAAATGTTCTACCTAGTTAAGTTAAAGTTAGTTGTGTTGTGTTATAAATAAATTAGTGCATTTCTTTTTGTGAAATCGAGTGTTTTAATTCACACCCAAAAGAACCCAGAAAAACGCTGCAGAAGCTTTGCGTCAGTGCAAGATTCAACTGTTTTCAACTATAAAATCATTCTGTTAGATGATTCCACCTTATTGCAACTAAACTATTTTTATGTATTGTGTAGGCGAAGTGAAGAATATGTTCAACTAATACATTACATTCATCTTGCTTACTGACATATCGGCCATTCTGAATGGATACACAAGTAGCAATGGGATATCTTACGAGTAAATGTTATTGTTATATCGTACAAAGTAGTGACGTTATTTCTACGGGCTTCGTATTTCGTCCTTATTTTGATATTGATCAAAAATATGTCAAGATTTTTAAGTAGAAAATACAAAATTACATCTCCCACAAATTTAGAATCAATATTTATCATTTTCTATCTGTAATGAGAAACAGAATTATATGATCTCCAATAAAGGACTACATTTCTTACCCACTATGGCGGGTGGTTATGGCTAATCATGGCATCCTCCACGTTGTCATAGGTTTATTAGAAGATTTTGGTGTTATTCGCAGGTGTTGTATAGCAATTTAGCAAATCTCTGAAATGAAATATGAGAAGATATAATGCTTTACTTAGAACTTGTACCAGATCTACACTATCAGTTTGACAAGTGGATAAAACCCTTACAACGAATACTCATGCGTTGCTTGTTTTGAAGAAGAATGATGGTTATGGCATTTAACCTAAAAAGATGACAGCAGAAACTTAGGTTATGGTTAACTGGTGTATCTGTTTATTAAGCAACAAATCTACATCGAGCACAATAATTTGGTCATATAAATGTTGTGATACTGTTGCATAGCCTTCAACAACTACTAAACGATAATTGTATAAACGCTTCCGTATGGGAGCAACTTGTTAGCTAAAGTAGTAATTGTGCACATCAAAGCAACAATGCTCGCGTTTCTTGTATATATTTTACCGTGGATACCACAACACAACCATTTTGACTACCGAGCTAATATGCGGTACAAGATAGTTGTATAAACATTTGTGCAACAGTTCTAAATTTATCCTATAAGGTGTATAAGTATAATACAAGAATGTTTTATACAGCTCATTTTAGAGCCAATATTTATGCCGCAGGAAGCAAATTTGCATTTCACACAATATTTTGGTGTTTGGGTAACAACAAAAGAGAGCTTTTACGCCGAAACAGTTCTTTTACCAAAAAATTACAGCACCACATTGCTATTGGGGATCCTCTGTAAGTGAAAGCCCAACTTTAAGGACACCCTGTATACAGGGTAGTCTATTAAACCTTTATCATATCTTGATATACTGAAGCAGCCAAAACTGTAACAGCATATGGGCAAATGAATATAATCGTCCCCACAGATGTGAAATACTGGGGATGCTGTCAATAATAGACCTTACACTAAAAATGATTTTATTTGAATGAAATTTATATACAGTTAGACATAAGAAAATTAAAGTCTTAATTAGATTTCGACATAAAAAGACATTTGCCGCAAGCTTGAACTTTTCTGTATGACTTTTCAGAAAAAAATGTTTTGTATTATAGTTGTAGGGTCTAACATGAAGTATTGCATGCAATAACTTTTTATGTGCAGGACATCTTAGAAAAGTGCTGCTGGATAAAGCCTAATTTTTGGTGAAAATGACGGTCGCTTTTTCTCTGATTCCAAATACATCTGGTTTGTCATAAGAATTTTTATTAGCTTAGCCAAAACATTTGTGTGTCACTAACTGATCTGTACCGGAGTTCAAAACAGTTATGCAGCTACATTTAGCTCCCTCTACAGGCGGGTATAGGGCCGGAACACTATAATTAGATGACACACTTTTTGACTAAAGAAATGAAAATAAGCAAGATACACGTAGCCTTAGAATCAGAAAAAAGCGGCTATCGTATTCAATAAAAATATGCATTGTTACATTTAAAAGAAAACGCAACTTTATTCCATAGCACTTTTCTGAGAAACCCTATATATAATTTAGAACAGACATTACTTAAAAAACTTTATATTTTAACCTTACAAGTTTGAGATATATATTTGTTTCGTGTAAAAAATTAAAAAGGGGCAATTTATAGCATCACACTCCGTGCAGTCGACTAGTTGTTGAGGCATGCTTCTGAGCAGATGATTATTGAGATACCTCATTCCAAGTCAACTGTACTTGATTTTAAAAAACCTTAATGAAAGATGAGGTAAGTAAGTCACTGTTTTCCCATCTAATCCCACACATCATATTAAAGGGGTAAAAGGTATCAAATTGTAGGAGACCAAAGAAAGATTCTGACTTGAGCGTTATTGAGGTTGTCTCTACCAATAATAAGATGTGCATCTTGAAAATATGGTTCTCTAGCATTTGGAGATTTGGCCAGAGGTATCTTATCTAGGAGCCATACATTTTCTAATGAAAACTGACGAGCACCATAGCCAATGACGTCATAATTCTGTAGTATGGTGCAAATGACGTTCAAACTGAAAACACTACTTCTTTCTCTGCTACGCCTGCTAGATCGCGCACGTCCATGATAGACAGCACAGAGCTCATCACTGAAAGCAATGTTACACGATTCATCATCCCAATTTTTTTGGCCTCAGTTCCGCTTTAGGTTCGCACGATGGACGGACACGAATCAGAAACTGTCTGGAATAAAAACATGATATAATTCTTTCAAATGAACGTCACTTGCACTGTGGGTTGAAGAGTCACCTATAGTTGTCATTATGATTTCGTGCATGTATATTAGAAAATGTACTAGAATCAACTAGAACCTCGTCTTTTACCACCTCTCCAAACGCTTGAAAGCTCTATTTCCTAATAAAGAATGACCGTCACGATATTGCTGCAGGTCTGTACACTACCTCAATGATAGTCAAATCTTTGTGGCTCTCTGGCAAATATCGTAAAGACGAAAATTCATGATTGATGTCCAGCCCTGAAGCCTAATCTATATATGTGGTAGGTGACAAAAGACAGACGTTACTTTAGGTTGGGAATTAAAACCACAGTTACTTAATGTCCACTAGAAACACAACTTATATTTTAAAGGTTAAAAACTTGTATGGGTTGTACTTTTATCGTTCCTCATAATACAGGTAGCATGAGACCTGGGAAGCAACCATACATTGAATGAATGAATGAATCTCGAAGTTAGAGGCATTCCGGCCAGCATAAGGAGCCAGTGCATAGGCCGCTTAAGCGGGCCCTTATGCACCTCTACATTCCTTAGATCACAGGCCTCGCCCTTTTAGCGAAGTTGAGAATCGCCTTGAGTAAAAGCTCCTTGACGTCCTGAGGGTCCAAAGTAATGGACGCCAGCACAGTCTGCTTATAGTAGCTCAGAGCTTCACAGCGACACAACACGTGCGCCGAGGTCTCTTCCTCTACCCGCAGCGTTCACACAAGGGATCCTCAGCCACCCCCACCACGTGCAGGTGGCGCCTTAACGTGATATGGCCAGACTACAGTCCAACCAGCAACCTTAGGTTGACATAGATGTCTGGAGATACGTCTCCATTTCTGAGAGTGTTTATTTGCAACCCACGTCTCCATTTTCCTCCTAGCTCTATGCG